TTTGGTTGTGGTTGGTTGGAGTTCTATATGCCTCGTTTTCCTGTATATCAGGTTCTGTTTCCATACTCGGGAAATTTTGTGCTATTATTTCTGCAAATATTCTTTTTATGTTGTTTGTGTTGCCTCCTGCTGTTTCATTGACTCCTATTAGTCGTACATTACTCCTCTTTGCCTCATCTTGAAGCTGTTGAGTTGCTATTTCCTGGATCCTTGTTGATTTTAAGAAATCCTTTCTTTCATGGTCGCTAGCTCCCACAGTGTCTTCAAAATCTGAAATTCTATATTCAGCTTCATTCAAGCTGTTTTGGCAGTTTTCAGTGGAAGGTTTGATTTCCTGAAACTCTCTTTGAATCTGCTTCATGCATTCTAAGTCCTTCCTACATTTTTCATTTAACGTTTCCAACCATTGCCTATGTTCTTCTATATTCTTATGTTTCTTCTTCAGACGTTCTGAGCAGTTCTTTCATTATTATTGTCATTTCCTTTTTTGCCTGAGGGATTATTTCTGATATGATCTCTTCTATGGTCTTATGGAGTTGTTTGTTTGCTTCCATTGCAGTCATTTCAGCAATTTCAGGCATGTGTTTATCAAGTTCTCCTATGTTGATGTCTCCTGGACTTGTTCTGAGTGGGGTGGAGTTCTGGGATTGTGTTTTAGTCCTTTGTCTTTTCATGTTTGATACTGGATGCAGAAAGCTCATTTTCCCTCTTCAGTGGCTCCCCAGCAAAGGCTGCTACTGTCCCTAGTTTGCCTGTTGTTCAGGTTTGCCCCTCAGTGTCTGCTGAGATGCACTAGTTAGTCTGTGGTTTTCTGGCAATTGCTGAAGTGTATCTAGCTATCCCAGGTCTCAGACATGGGCATTGGTGTCAGCTGATGGCACATCGTCTGATCTAGTGTTCCCTTGCAGTTCAGGGCACATGTACAGCCTGAACTTGGGTTACACTGGTGGCACAATCCAGATCCAGTGTACCTATGTCCCCAGGCAGTTCAGGGTACAGGCAAAACCCAGACAGGAACTGCATGGTCAACAGTTTGTGGACCACCTGATTCTGTGTGTCCAGTCAGTTCAGGATGCATACAGGAGCCAGATGCGGGCTGCACGGAGAGCAATGACAGACTGTTCCTGTCTGTGCCCTCCAGGAGGTTGGGGTGCAAGTAAAGGACAGACTCGAACGATGGTACCAACAGCTCTTGCAGTGCACGCTCACTTGGTGCAGGTCACGTGCAGGGAGTGCCCCCATGCAAACCCCAGTGAGAGCAGTCCCTGGGCCTTCTGAGTGAGGAACTCAGAACTCTGCCATGGGTCTGCAAATAGTCATTTTATGTCATTTGTGTTGACACCTGCTGCTTTGTTGATACCTATTAACCTGACATTATTTTTCTTTGCTTTGTGTTGTAGTTGTTGTATTGATATTTCCTGGGTCCTTGTTGTTTTTAAGAGATCCCTCCTTTCATGTTCATTAGTGGCAATGCTGTCTTCAAGGTCTGAAAGTCTATCTTCAGCTTCATTCAGGTAGTTTTGCCGGCTTTCAATGGAATTTTTAATTTCCTGCATATCTGCCTGAATGTTTCTTATAGTCTAGTTCTTTTCTATATTGTTTACTGAAGGTTTCCATGGGTTGCCTGTGCTCTTCTATTTTCTTATCAATGTCTTCTTTGGATATGCTGAGCAATTATTTAATTATTGCTGTCATTTCTTTTTTTTACCTGAGAGATGTCTAATCTGATGTCTTCTATGGCCTTGTGGAGTTATTTCTTTACTTCAATTGCTATCATTTCAGAAATTTCAGGTGTATGACTTCCAGGCTCTTCTGTGTTGATGCCTCCTGGACTTGTTCTGGGTGGTATAGAGGTCTGAGATTGCATTTTGCTCCTTCATTTTGTCATTTTTGAAGATCCAGAGGGTCCCTGGAGCTCAGTCTCACTCCCACAATTGTGTGGTAGCGGCAGGGCAAGGGTTCAGAGATCTCCAGTGCTCAATGTGGCTCCTGTGCTGGTGTGTGGTGGCAAGGTGGGGGTCTGAGATGCTGATGAAACTTTCTTGCATTCAGTTGGCCCCCAAGTGTGTGCGTGAGGGGCAGGGAAGGCTCACTGGATTTTCTGACACTGTCTGGGGTTCAGCCTGGCTTCCACAAGGGTTGGGGGGATGCAGGTAGTGGTCACCGAGGCTTCAGATGTTGCCCAAGACTCAGCACGGTTTCCATACCAGCAGGGGAGGGGTGAGGGTGGAGTCCCTGAAGCCACTGACTCTGTCCGGGTTTCAGCTGGGCTCCCATGGGGATGCGGGTCATGGTCAGAGTGACCAGTGAGGCCCCAGAAGGTGCCCAGGGCTCTGCATGCCTTGCATGCTGGTCTGGGAGGTGTGAGGTTGGCTCACCCGGGTTCCTGAAGATGTCCAAGGTTCAGCCTGGTGTCCACAGGCTTACTAGTGGTGTGGAGAGTGGCCACCAGTTCCTGAAGATGTCCAGGGTTCAGCCCAGCCAGCAATGGGAATTTTACAAGCTAATATGCAATAACTTGACAACTATAGGTCTATGTGATGTTAGGAAAGTTGCTTAACTTCCTTGTACTTTGTATAAATAGTAGGTAATTTTAAAGGACTCTCTCACCTTTAAACATCTGTACATTTTTAGAATTAAAAGTCCTGCCAAACCTATTCCCTTCTTCTTTCCTTCTCTCTACCTTCTTCCTTCCTTCTCTCTTGCTTTCCTTTCTTTTTCTCCTCCTTTCTTCTTCCTCTTGAACAAATGTGCTTAGAGAGTATGAATGTTAGGGATCTGTGTGACCCTGAAGTGTGCTCTGGAATTTAATCCCACAAGACTTGTTCTACCTTTGGATTTGACCTTGTTAACATTTTAAAAAAATCCATTTATAGATAAGAAAGACATGAAAGAAATGCCTATGAAATTTTGAAATTACCCAAAGTTTAGGAGAATTAATTAATTCAATACAAAGGAGCAGGCCTACCTATGATCAGAAAATCTATGTATTAAGGTTATTATTGTTTTTACAACATTCTTATAGTCCAAATATTTTGGTTTTTGTTTGGTGCCAGGGATTGAATTTAGGGCACCAGGCATGCTAAGCATGTGCTCTACCACTGAGCTCTGTCCTCAGCCCTGTTACTCATTTTAGTTTCCCTTTCTTCAGTTGAAATTTTGAGGCTTTTAGAGTAGTAATAGTGGAAAAATAGACATGTTAGGTAGAGTCCAGAGTTAGCTGCTCTCTGTGTTCCTATCAAAAATGGCAAATATATTAGACCAGACTGATCTAGAACATCATGAAGTAAAGGAAGCATTACTCCCCAAACTGATGGGAGAGTATACAACAGAGAGGGATTTTTGAAAAACCTGTGGTGTGAGTGTAAAAGTACCAATTCAGCAGCTTCATTAGGGGATTTTGTGAGCACAAGGTGAGACGCTGGAGGAGCCTCAGCAAAGCTGAGGAGCTGATTTAAAAATGGCACTCAGATTATGGTTTCTAAATGTAGGGGAAGGTCTTGTGCCAACTTTTTTAAACAACAAATTTCAACTTATTGTGAGAAATATTGTAAAAAAAAAACAACCCCTCATTTCGATTTGAATTGTGGGATAGTTGTTTAAATATGTTGTTTTTGTCTCATAGAAAGCTGCCAATTCGTGTTTTTAAAAGCCTAGATAGATTTAATTACTTTGAGTTTAAAGCCAAAACAATTAAATTATGTCAGCTCTTCCATCTTCCATTCTCTGTATTTCAATTAGAAAATTGTAGCTCTTATATTTCAATTTTTCTTTTCATTATTAATGCTTAATTTTATACAGAACTTGATTTGACCTAGACATGAGGAAAATACAATTTATGTGTAGCAAAAAAACAATCTAAAGCTGCTCTCTGTGGCTGCAGCTGTGGTTTGGAAAATAAACCAGGATCAGATTATGTCTGATCATTTTCCATATCATACGATGAACAGCAGTTCACAAGAAGCATAAAATGTATCCTCCTGGAAAGCCCCTTAGCTCTCATGTTGTTAACTGTTGCTTTCCCTCCCTCTGTTTCCCTCTTTAGAATCTATAATTGAAAAGGATCAGCTAAAAGTGACTCTTCAGCACAAAGAGGGGGGACTTGTCACACTTCTTGGAATCAACAGTTGAATTCTTGAGCATAACATGCTTTAGAAGCCATGGGCTGTGGGAATTCTGCACTGAACAGCAAGAAATCTGAGAAAGGTGAGTGTTGGTAATGTGCCTGTGTTTATGAATGAAGAAGAGTGAGTAAGCCCCACTCACATTCTCCCGCTTTCTAATTTACTTTCATGGTTCTCAGGTTGCCCTGTATGATTTTTTACAAGGCATCATTGGTTGAACTGAAGGTAAACTACTGGGGGAACTACTTCAGAAAAGATGGATAATACCCTAAAGTATTATCTAAGAGGTTTCTGATGTTTGATTTAATTTCAGTTGAAACTGTGCCAATATAAAATTCCAATTTATAACACAGTGGTAGGGAACAAAAAGACACTGCAATTTATATGTATCTCCAATACTCTTATAAATAGCTGTATCCATACCTTTGTGACATTTAGTAGCATCACTGAATTTTATTAGCTTTTATAGCTCAGCGATCACATTTTTTATATCTGTTCAACACAGAACTTCATGAGATTTTCCTCATGTTTTAAAAATATTCTAGGGTGCATTTGGGGATTGCTAGGTCATCTGTTTCCCAGAAAGTGTATCATTTCTGAATAGATGATATCCCCCCTCCATCTCCATATAATTAGAGGCTTTTCTATGGAGGTGCTTTTTCGTGGCTACTGGAATCTAGTTGAAACTTGCTTGAATGTTTTAGGGGCATAGACTCTACCAGCAAATTAAAATATAAGCAATTTGGGACAATTATATGAATAACTGGCTCTTAAACTCCATTCCTTTGTTATCTAGATTGTAGGTAATTATCCTGGTTTCAAGCCCACATCTTGGTTCTGGAAGTTTATTCAGGCTTAAGGTAGAGAGCTAAGGATGCAGCATACACTATAGCTGTAATGGTGAACCTATAGCACATGAGCCACAGGGAGCATGCAGCGCCCTCTCTGCGATGACATTACGAGTTGTATGAGTTATTTCTTTTAGACTAAAACCTCAGTATCCAAGTTTAATTGCAGTGTTGGCATTTTACAGTAAATAAGTGGGTTTTGGGTTGCAGTTTGGTCACTCAGTCTCTAAGAGGTTCGCCATTACTGTTTTATAGTAATTAGTTCAGGGTGTTTTCCTTTGGAAATTCAATGTGTCCCCCCACCAACTTGTGCCAATAAGTTAGCAAGCTCATCTCTGTAAGTAGGAAAGAACACTGGTAAATGCACTAATTCTCTCAAATCTTTAAATGTGTCATGAAACATGAAACAGCTCTTTCAAGAGTTCCAACTGAACTAATCGCTAGTACAGTAGGAATTTATTAGCAGAGAGTGGAGAGAGTAATCATCTTTTTATATCTAGGATTGCACAGAGTTCTTTAAGTTTGGCCACATTTCTTAGTTTAAAAAGTGGGAAGTAGAGGGGTTGAGGGTGTGGCTCAGTTGGTAGAGCACCTGCCTTGCAGGTATAAAGCCTTGCGTTCAAACCCCAGGACAGAAAAATTTTAAAAAGGCCACATTCAGCTTATAAAAGCAAATTCTGTTTCTTTTGAAATGCTTTTCACTGTTTATGTATAAATGGAAGTATTAGCTTAGGGTTTTGGATTGCTTTTTAGAACATAATTTATTGAGGTGAAATTTGTATAATGTAAAATTAACCATCATAAAGCAAACAACGCAGTAGCATTTAGTGTAGTCAAATGTTGTGTAACCATAATCCCTGTCTAGTCCCAAAACATTTCTATTACTCCGAAGTAAAATCCCTAATCCATTAAGCAGTTTCATATCCAAGAGTCCATTGCTAAATCTAAAAAGATTTGTACTCATATTTTTCTCTTAGGATTTATAGTTTTAGTTCTTACATTTAGGTTTTGGTGCATTTTGAGTTAACTTTCTCATTGTATGAGGTACAGGTACAAATTCATTCCTTGTGTGTCAATATCCAGGTGTCCCAGCACCACTTGTTGAAAAGACTTTTTTCCCATTAAGTGGTCTTGGCACTCTTGTCAAAAATCAATTGACTGCAAATGTGAAAGTTTATTTTTGGACTTGAAATTTTATTCTATTGCTGTTCATCTATATACCTTTCTATGCCTGTATTAGTGCCTTTCTTGCTGTAGTTTTATAGGAACTTTTGAAACTGGTATAAGTCCTTCAACTTTTTTTCTCTTTTTCAAGATTGTTTTGCCTATTCTGTGTCCCTTGCATTTCCATATGAGATTTAGGATCAATCTGCCAATTTCTCAAGAGAAAACAGCTGGGAACTGGAGATACAGCTCAGTGTTAGAGTGCTTGCCTACTATGTTCAAGGCTCTGGGTTCCATCTTCAGTAACACACACGTGCACACACACACACACACACACACACACACACACACACAGAAGAAGGAGGAGAAGGGGGGGAAGCCGGAATGTTAATGGGAATTGTGTTGAATCTACAGATTGATTGGGGGAGGGTGTCCTTCCATTTTAACAAGAAAAGCATAACACCTATAAACATAGGATGTCTTTGTGTTTAGGTATTCTTTTAATAAATATGCTATAGTACTAAGTATACATTTTACACTTATTTAGGCTATACTTAACCAGATATTTTATTTGTTGATGCTATTATAAATAGAATTGTTTTCTTAATTTTATTTTCTGTTTGTTCATTGTAAATGTATGTAAAACAATTGCTTTTTATGTTCTGAAAGGTTGCTATCCTCATTTGTTAGCTTTAATTGATTTTTAGTGGATTCTTAGGAATTTTTGCTTATTAATTATCATCTGCAAATAGGTAGTTTACTTCTTCCTTTCCAATATCTGATTTTTTCTTTTCTAATTATTTTGGCTAGGTCCTCCATTAAAATGTTGAATAGAAATACATGAATATAAATCCTCATCTTATTCCTAAACTTTGGGCTGAAAGCATTTAGTCCTTTAGTGTTAAGTATATAGTTGTGGCTTTTTGATAGGTGGTTTTTATCAGGTTGAGGACGTTCACTTATTCTCCTAGTTTGTTGATTTTTTTTTTTAAATTGCAAAGTTCAGCTTAAATTTGTCAAAGAGCTTTCTGCATGTATTGAGATGAACATATGATTTTTGTCCTTTATTGTATGGCATGGCACATTACACTAATATAATTTCAGATGTGAAACTAACATTGCATTTCTGGAATAAATCCTACTTCATCATGTGGACTAATGCTTTTTATATGTTGTGGAAATCAGTTTGCTAGTATTTTGTAGAGGAATTTTACAACTGTATTTGTAAGAGGTATCAGTCTATAGCAGCAGTGGTGAACCAACCGCATGTTGTTGTTTGTTTTTCTTTTAAGACAAAAGGTGCTAATGTATGAGTTTTTTTTTCTGGATTAAAACCTCAGTACACAAGTTTAATTGCAATACTGGCACTTTGTGATAAATAAGCAGGTTTGGAATTGCAGTTTGGGCACTTGTCTCTATAAGGTTTGTCATCACTGGTCTAAAGTTTTCTTGTAATGTCTTTAATTTTGATATCAGGGTAGTATTGATTTTATAAAATGAGTTGGAGAGTATTCCCTTCTATTCCATATTTTGGAAAAGTATAGGAAGAACTGGTATGAATTCTTTAAGTGTTTAGTAGAATTCATCATTGAATCCTTCTAGGCATGGGAATTTCTTTGTGGGTAGTTTTTTGATTACTTACACTATTTCTTGTTATAACTCTATTCAGAATTTTCTTGTTATAACTTTATTCAGATATTCCTGTTTTTTTGAGTCACTTTTGCTCAGTTGATATCCTTTTAGGAATTTATCCATGTTATCTAAATTATCTAATTTGTTAACATATACTTGTCCAGAGTATTCCTTTACAATTCCTTTTATTTTCCATTATCTCCTGTTGAATATGTAAATCAAGCTTTATAAAGCTGACACAATGGTGAATATTTACATTTATCCACAGATGAACTTTTTTTTTTTTTTGGTTTTTCTCCGGCACCGGGAACCGAACTCACGACCTTGCGCTTGCCAGGCAGGCGCTTTGCTGCTGAGCTAAATCCCCAGCCCCCAGATGAACGTTTTATTTAAAAAGTTTTTTTCTCATTGAGAAATTTTAGAAAATATAGAAAACTAGGTGGAAATAGCTAATATTCACTCATCATTCTACTTCCCAGAGATAACAATTTCTAGGTGTCCCACCCCCCCACCTTTGGTATAATTACTGTAGAGTTTTGATCATCTGAAATATTAGTTTATTATAGCCTCATTTACCACATTATAATGTTATTATGTGAACATTTCTCAGTTTGTTATAAATGCGTTGTAAACATCGTTTTAGCCATTGCTATTTCATGTAATGAATAGGCCATAGCATACTTAAGTATTCTTCTAATATTAGATCCTTTTCTAAAAAGAAAAAACCAAATACAAATAACATGTTGAAGAATTTCTTTATGCAAAACTGTTTCTTTATTTTGGATTATTCCCCAAATCAGGTGATTATATATGAAATTACTGTGTCAAGGGCTGTGAATATTTTGAAAGCTCTTGATAGAAAATAATAGCTATTATTTCCTGATTACTAACTGTATTCTAGAGAATACTCAATATATTCTGCATAATTTTACTTACTCCTTGTAATAAACCTGAGTAAAGTATTATTTCTGTTTGTATAGTTGAAGTAGCTTATTCTTAGCAAGGTAAGTACATGACAAGGTTATACAGCTTTTCAACTGCCAGAGTTGGAATTTGAGCCCATGGAATTTTGACTAAAGCTGCCAGCCATTACACTGTTTTATGCTGCCTCCTTTCATTTTCAGAGTGCTGTATAATTGGCCTGGCCCTTTCATACACATTTCATCTTTACAACCTTGTGAAGGGGCATTCTCAATCTGCAGAAAAGGAAACTGCGGCTTGGAGAGGCAAAATAATTTGTGCACAAATACAGTTAGGAAGTGATAGAGACAAGGTGAAAATTCGATTGGTGTTTCTAGTGGACTGTCTAGTATTAAGGAATTTTTTATTTCCTACTTGGTCATTCAATCCTACCACTGGCTCTAAAATATCACAGCATCTTTGAGAAAGAGTGGCCTACATATAAAGTGGATGTTATCCTTTTCTTGCGGGCTATCCA